GCAGGTGCTGCGTTAAAGTTTGCCACCAAATATTAGCGCATGCAAGTTTACTTGTTATTGTTATTATTTTCTTTTCCAAAATACATTATCTGGTCATCACGTTTACAGTCACAAAAAATTGGTAAACTTAATTTAATCTGAGTTGTGTTAGGTTAGGTTAGGTTAGGTACATGCACTCGATCTATTAACTCAGATTAATAAGTTTACCAATTTTTTGTGACTTCGTGACACCAAATACCAGTCGAGAAGTGATTGGCAGTCCGATTTATTCTTGTAGGGCCATCATTTGACTTCATTGCGGCTACATTTGGGTACATTTGGGTAATTACTCGCTCCCTCGGTACATGCACGCGATCTATTAACTCGGATTAAATTACGTTTTCCAATTTTTTTTACTTTGTGACACCAAATACTAGTCGAGAAGTGATTGGCAGTCCGATTTTTTCATGTAGGACCATTATTTGACTTCATTGCGGCTACATTTGGGTACATTTGGGTAATTAGTCGGACCCCTATTACTCCTGTAAACGCACTATTACTGACTAGAGAACAGGCGTAGGCCAAAGCAAAACGCCATCCTGGAAATAAGCACCTGACAGTTATGTCGGCCATCCTTGGTCAAGTTGCCTTACTGTTTAACCTGCAGTCTCAACACATAAAACTTTTTCTCTGTCCTATGTGCACCGTATACCTACATTGTCTATATTCATGCTGAACTGTATAACTGCATATTTTATAAACTTGTTATATCAATTATAAACCTGTATGACAAATTTACTGAATAAATATTATTATAGAGTACAAGAGGCCGATGTTTGCAGTAATGCGCTAATCTTCGAGGAACTCGCAGTGTTGACACCAAACTGAGCAGCTGTGGTTGGTAACGGTATATTCAGTTGCCACTTAGTCTTTTTTCGACCTTTGATAAATTTTACTTTGCATCCTGTTTAATCTTTTTTTTGCAATATGTATATAACTTATGGTAACAGCGTAATAACAGATGATTAATGTGTTACTTGGACAATTTTTTTGGGGGGCGGGGGACGAATGAGCTAACGTGTGAACTTGAGATTATTTACAACTCGGCTCGCTGGATGCTCGGTCAATGTCCCTCAGGCCGGTGAGACCGCCGGGAAGGACCATAGTCGGGAAGTTTTTTTTAGTTTAAAAAATTTATTGACAAAGCTTGTAATACAGTTTGCCTATTCTGAGTAATTCAGTCAGGTCTTGACACTGAGGGTGGTATCACTTCTCACTGCCACGCAGGACAGAGGTTCATACACAAAGAAATACAACATATTCATTAACAGCTATATATATATATATATATATATATATATATATATATATATATATATATATATATATATATATATATATATATATATATATATATATATATATATATATAGGTCAGATTCATGTGGGTAATGTCACTTCACTGCCATGCAGGACAGAGGTTCGTACACAAAGAAATACATTATATTCATTAGCAGTATACATAGGTCAGTGGTTCACATACATTGGACGTCATATTCTAATTGAAGACTAATCAGTGTGGGCTAGCAAATTTGGGATAAACAGCAAGAATGTCCTCAAGCTCCCCCGATTCAATGTAGTAATTACAAAGTTCAAGATACAATAAGTCAGGTGGCCTGAAGTCTTTGACAGTGTCACATTCAATAATATAGTGTTCAAGTGTATGCTTTAAAGGTTTATCACGAAGTTTACATGCTGAGTGTTCCGGTATGGGTACAGCGTTACTAACTTGCCAGATGTGTCTGTATCCTAGCCTAATTCTGGCCACGACTACATCACGTTGTCTGGTTCCGCCTTATGCTGGCCATACCGGTACCTCTTGTCACAAAATTTGCCATTTACTAACGCTACAAATGCCAGGTATCTCTGCATTCTCACTTCTTTTAGATCAGAGTTCATGATTCTGACTTGAATGTTTTTAAGTACAGCATGGACAGGCCAAGGTCACGGTCAACATTTTCTTTCTTACATGCCTCATTGGCCAGCCTATCAGCGCGGTCATGATACCTGATTCCAACATGGGACGGGATCCACACAAATTCGATACGAAAGTTGTTCTCATTGGCAGTTATCACATTCCTTTTAATATCACACACAACTTTAGACATAGAGCCTGACGGACTGTTTCATTGATTTCAAAGCACTTTGAGAGTCACAGAATATCACCCCACCTCCATTTTCTGTAAGGTAGAGTCGGGAAGGACGATAGCCTCTCCACTCGTCAATTTTTTTCTCCTTTTGCGAATTGTCGTATATTTTATTAGACTCGCCATACCAGTTCATAATTTATGAAGGCCATACACAATCTAGATACACAATGTACGTACAGTCAACAACAATACTTGACAACAGTTCGTAACAGAAGCGTGACCGACCGCCCAAGCGAAGAGAATAAAAATAAAAGTACTGTAAAAGTATTCTACTCCTGGGGTCCATTGGAACTGGGAATGAGCAAATACCTCGTCCACTTATGGTATGTAGGGTTGGCCCCTAACTGTATACGCCTACGGCCGACCCGTCTCTGCGACTATCAACGCACACATCACACTCACACTAAAAGGTTTGTCCCTTAATACTGGCAATGCCAATGTGCCCCCCTCCACCCCTACCGACCATCGTGCCTATCCTACCACAACAAAGTCCCCAGCCGTCACCAACACCCCTTCCTCCTGACCTAATATCCCTCCTCCAGACAAGCCTGGCACCCACTTTTATCCTCTTCACCACTGATCGGCTCGTTAGCCGATTGGGCGATCGGTCACATCTCTGTTACGCACTGTTGGCAAGTACTGGGCATGCACCGGCTCCTGAATGTACCTGAACCTGCTCCAGTGTTGGTCAAGTCTAATCTTGAAAGAGCTTACCTAATTATTACAGTAATGTACCATTTTATTTTTTTTTTTTGCACACCAGTCCATCTTACCACCTCATGGTTGCTGAGATTTAGGAGTAATGATAAGTAGGAACCTTAAGCCAAGTAAACAATGTGTTTTTGCTCGTAACAAGGCTAATAAAGTACTTGGGTTCATACAAAGGAGTGTTAGTTACAAGACTAGCGAGGTCATCCTAAAACTGTATCTTGCTCTTGTGAGACCACACCTGGATATACGCAGTTCAGTTCTGGTCACCGTAAAACAGAATGGATATAGAATCCTTGGAAAGAATTCAGAGGAGAATGACAAGACTAATCCCGGGCATTAGGAACCTTGAGTATAGAGACAGGTTAAAGCATCTTAATTTGCACTCCCTTGAGAGACGTAGAGCGAGGGGCGACCTGATAGAGGTGTATAAGTGGAAGGCAGGGCTAAACAAAGGGGACATTACAAAGGTACTCAAATTATCCAACTAGGAGCGAACTCGTAACAATGGTTTTAAATTAGACAAATTTAGATTTAGGCGTGAAATAGGTAAACACTGGTTTGGAAACAGAGTAGTGGATGAATGGAACAAGTTACCAAATATCATAATTAACTCGAATACGCTGAATTGCTTCAAACATAGGTTGGATGCTCATATGAGCAATAGGGGTTGGGTGTAAACGGGACTGCCCAGTATGGGCCAATAGGCCCGCTGCAGTTTCCTCCATTCTTATGTTCTTATGAGACCATCGTTGTGGAGGGCGATGATGGCACCTCAGGTTCCCTTGCCTAGATCAGTCCTGCGTGTGTTTCCATATGAATGGTTGCTGAAGACAATGCTCGGCAGCTCCACTTATCTATCACGTCAGTTGCTATAGCAATCGACCGCTGAATTTTAGCGCAAATAGAAGGCTGGATATACACTATTATATGATTACCGTATATCACATACTTTTTTCTCGATAAAGGATATAAGGGTATACACAGTCAGGGGTGCCAACCCAACATATACCGTGAATGGCAAAGTTATTTGCTCATTCCCAGTTCCAACGGACCCAGGGGCGCGTTAATTTTTTGGTTGACTGCACATACAAAGTGCATATTTACAAGCAATGAGAAACCGTAAGTCAATTAAACTATGTAAAGTCTAAGAAAGCTGTTGGGAGGGGGACGAATGAACTACAGGAATGCATACTGATAACTTTTATATTGATGATAAAAATTTTTAAATTGAATACTTTTTTATTACAATTTATATATGGGAAGAAATTCCTCGTGGTCCACTCTATCCATCCATCCCTACAAGAGCGTTAAGAGGCAGTCACAAAACCTTTCCAGCATAGAGGTGAAAATTTTGTGTTTTGTTTACTGTATATGGTTCCTTAGATTGTATTCACACAGTTTGAAGCTGTTTAATCGATTTTTCTGCTAGAGGAGACGTCTTTCTTTTATAAATTCGAATGTTTAGGCACTTTATCGCACATTCTAGGATTGTTTGTCCTATTTCTGGAAAAAAAAAGAGTGATTTGTTATAACCATGGACTTTGAGTTAGCCGATTCAATCGCTTATTATGTCGAGGGTATTGCGTAGTTATGTGTACAGCTCCGTACCTTAAGTAACACCTAATTACTGTACGTAATAATATTTAAGGTAACCTTGGTTTGACACCTCGAAACAACTATTGTTGTTTGTGACTGCAATGTACAACTTTTGATGCAAATTGCTCCAGTTCCTATACTACACAACAGCTTTTAAAAATTAATATCTTAAGAGGCGATCAAATTGTTTGAAAATATTATTTTATCATATATAAAAATAAAAAGAATTGTGGAAATATTTTTATTTTTCATAAAAAAAAAATTCTGGGTATACAGGTATAATGAACCTCAGTGTGTAACATGTACAGTTGCCAGCATACACACACACACATATATATATATATATATATATATATATATATATATATATATATATATATATATATATATATATATATACACAGTACTGTATAGTAAAGCAAGGGTGGTCAGTCACCTTCCAAATATTTTGTTCAGGAGGATCAGAGTTATGAAGAGGAGTTAATAAATATTGTGCATTTTCAGGATGGGTTCGTCTGGTCGGGCCCTGGACATGGGAGACCCCTGCACGCCTATGGCCTGGCAGCAGCGAGACCTCAACTACCACCAGAGTGGCTTCCAGGACAGATACGGACCAGGTACATCCATAATTCCGTAAAAATAAACACGTAAATAAATAATAGCAACAATGATTGATAGTAGTGATATTGCTGCTGCTACTACAGTACTACTATTACTGATGCTGATGATATTGATTATATTAATAGTAATAATAATATTGATGATGATAATCCACAACTGTGACGGTAAAAGGCAGTGTTAGCCACTGTCTCCATGTTGAAATTAGGCTTAGTATTCGGCGTGCTGAATCCGCACTGCTCCTAACGAGTTGTCGTGCTTATAAAACCCACTTTAACTACAAATTATATTTCTGATATTAAGATAATTATTATTTTTACCAACTTATTTAAGAAAGATAATGATTTATCGGATGGACATGTGTAATTTCAAGTGATGGTGTGTGTTGCATGACCATGAAGTATGTTGTGTCCCATCACAGATTATTGGAGATTCTGTAATCCTGCTCTTGTATATGTAACTAATTTATTGTTGTTGATGGCAGGAGCTGTGGGAATGGGTAGTAGCCGCGCGGGGCCGCCTTCCACCAGCGACCGTCTGAGCCACCACACAGACAAATCATGGCGGACACACCGGGACTCCCGTGACTCTGGCCAGCCCCACTTGGTGCCTTACGCAGGCGGCTACCCATCAGGTTCCAATACACAGTATTCCAGCCGCCCACCACCTGCTCACTACCCACCGTCACGCCCCTCCTATTCCAGTGGGCGTCCCCCTTCTCGTCCTCACACACCCTCAGGCACTTCATCAACGTCGTCATCGTCATCATCAACTGAAGAGGATAGTGAACAAGCACCAGGACCTGTGGGCTCCATGCCTCATCCGATATATGGATATACTGGGTACTACCCAGGGTACCCACCACCTGGTCCTCTTGTACACCCAGGCTATCCTGGCACACTAAAGTCTGCTCGCTCAGTGCCTGCCCTAGCCCTGGCTACTTGGGACGGTGAGCCCTGTCCAGTGCACGGCGGTGGCCCACTCTCATACCCAGGCCCACATGGACCAATGCCTCCTCCAGGGTACCCGCCAATGATCTCACATGGACCCTTGTCACTGCCTCCTCCACCTGGACCCACTCGCCGAGTCAACTCTGTCTATGACATGCGCCTTGGTTCGCCTCCACCTGGACCAATCTATGGAACACTGCCAGGGAGGAACATGCCAGCCGACCGACGAAGTCTTGCTGGGTCAACCATCCTTGGCCCTGCAGCACCAGGTGCCCCACCAGGCATTCCCCCACACCTTCTCCCACCAATGGCTCGCCCTATTCCATTGGTAGTAGATGAAAAGGGCAATCCAGAGCCTTTACCTGTACGCAAAACTGGAGACAAAAATGGAACACTCCCTCCTGGAGTTGTATCAAAAGTGGCTGCATCGGTGGGGCATTCAGAGAGTGAAGCTGTGGAAAAGAAGCGTGTGTGTTGTCGAGGTGGGGCCTGTGTGGCCTGGGTTATCCTGGCAGTGATATGTCTCGGTGTTTTGCTGGCTGTGATGCTCAGGTTTATTTTGTAAACTTCTGTAGAGCAATTTTGTATGGCGAGACCATTTAAGATCACGTGATCTTGATGGTGCTGGTTCAGAACCTTTGAAAATATATTATACTGTACTGTACATCTTAAATCTGGAAAGAATTGCCAAATATATAGGAGTTTCATTTTTGAGCTTGTAAGTACCTGGTAATCACCATAAGAATTAAAAATAATTGTACAGTATTATAATTGTGTTACCATGTGCTATAATGGTTGCTCAATTGATCAACTCTAAAAGAAAAGGAAAAGTAATCAGAGACGTGACCGATCGCCCAAGCGGCTAACGAGCCGATCAGTGGTGAAGAGGATAAAAGTAAAAGTATTTGTATCAGAAGGCACAGAGTGAACCAATGCCAAGGCCAGTCCTTGTATCAATGGTAATTAATGAGGAACAAGACTTTGGATATTATGGTAAAGCGTACTGTATTGTATGAGAGGAAGGAATGACAAGAACTGCTGTGTGTATGTACTGTACTTAGAAGTAATTGTATGTATATTTTTAAGTATTGTATTTACTGTACATTGATGGGGCTACCCGACAACAACCCAACTGATAAATTACTGTAGGTGAAGCAATTGATACTTCCTCCTTCCTGCTCACTGTTTAGCCCTTTCACAGTGGGAGGTTACCCTAAGCTGAATAAAATCGTCTGGCGGTAGCCAGAATAAAATGGCAAGTGCGTGACACACGGTGAAGGGGTTAATGTTATGTTATACTGTATAGTGTATAAGTTTATATCCACCACTCCTGTATTGGACGGAAATTTAATGCTCATTTTAAAAGTAAGACTAATGAATGAACTGGTAATTGCACTTACATATATCTTTTCTTGTTGTAACTGTAAAATTATACAGTATTTTTAGTGTACCAAGAATGATACTTTGGTAAGAATATTCACTAGATATTGTTGTTTTTATAACTTGTTTACAGTTCATGAATTGGTCATTCTATGATATATATATATATATATATATATATATATATATATATATATATATATATATATATATATATATATATATATATATATATATATATATATATATATATATATATATATATATATATATATATATATATATATATATATATATATATATATATATATATATATATATATATATATATATATATATATATATATATATATATATATATATATATATATATATATATATATATATATATATATATATATATATATATATATATATATATATAGCCTGTATATATATTTGTTTTAATATATTTTATAGGTTACATATTATGTTAATATAACTGTGCTACTTTGTATACTTTTATTATAGGAGAATTGCCTTTAGTTGTAAATATTATAAATGTGGAGGCATTAAAGATGTTGATGTAACACAATTTTCTCTCGTGGTGCCGGGTGTTTTAACTCCTCAAGTTGTTGTACATATACTGGAGTATCAATAAAATATATGACTATTGATAAAGTTTTTGATATCTAATTCATAAAGTTTTTGATATCTTAAATTGAATGCTATTGTATTGGTGACTTAACATCAGAACACATTACTAAAGATTCTGAAACTGAAAGTATAAAGATAGTGAAGAAAATAGATTAAGCGAGATAGTGGTGACTAGTAACGATGTCAGTAAGCAAATAGACAAGCTAAAGCTTGATTAGTCACCAGGTCCCGATAAGATGTTTGCTAGAGTATTAAAGGAATGTAAGGAAGAGATTAGTATGCCCTTAGCAAAATATGTTTAACATGTCCTTGAAAACGGGTGTAGTACCAGAATCCTGGAGGATAGTGAATGTAATACTGATTTTCAAGAAGGGAGATAGATCACTATCCTCTAACTACCGTCCAATCAGTTTAACATCAATTGTAGGCAAATTACTGGAAGCAATAATCTCAAACTATATTTGAAATCACCTGGAGAAGCACAATTTGATCAATGATTCCCAGCATGGATTCACAAGCGGGCGATCATGTCTGACTAATCTATTAACATTCTTTTCAGCTGTTTTAGGAATCGGTGGATGACAGGCACAATTATGATGTGGTATATCTCGACTTTAGCAAACCCTTCGACAGAGTTCCCCACGAAAGACTAATAAGAAAAGTGGACGCTCATGGCATTGGAGGAGTTATTCTAAAATGGACAAGGGCGTGGTTACAGGACAGGAAACAGCGAGTAAGCATTAATAGCACTAAATCCGATTGGAGTAACGTCACTAGTGGAGTACCCCAAGGCTCGGTACTTGGACCATTATTATTTAGTATATAGATAAACGATATAGATATAGGCTTAGACAGTAACATAAGTAAATTTGCTGATGACACTAAAATAGAGCGTGTAATGAAATCTGATGTGGGCGCTTCAGATAGACAGTGAGATCTAAAAAAAAATTGAATGGTCTGAAAAATGGCAAATGAAATTTAATGTGGATAAATGTAAAATACTTAGTCTAGATTCACTCTTATTAATACAACATCTTTAATGTATTGTAACATGAAAACTACAGTAGGCTCTCGCCAATAACGTTTAATAGGTGCCTGAAAAACGTCGTTATTAGCGAAAACGTTATTTGTGTGACATTAAAATACATGTAAAAAGGGTTTATTGATGCCGCCGCCCCAAGAATTTTACCCAATTTTTCCCCTTAGAAGCCCTCCTAACACTTTTTGTTCGCTGAAATAAAAATATTTATTCAATCATCAAAATAAAGAGTTTGAGTAATATAACATTTAGTTTGGGGGAGTTTTTGAGGTGCTTAGTGTGATGATTGTTCCCCATCTGAGGGCCGCTAAGACTGCACTGTCTTTCATTCTACAAGCTAACCATTTCACAAGAAAATGCTCTGTTATCACTAACAACCTGTTTCTATCACTTTTATCATTCATAACTCGCCTCGCATTTCCATCACTACCGAAATATTTCTTAGCCAGCGCAATACTCTTCTTGGTATCCTCTAAGTTCCTCTTAATACTTCGCACTGTAGACTCAGGACAGTTCAATTTCCTCACAATATCAATGTTCCGTGCGCCACTTTCAATGAGCTCAACAATCTGTTCTTTTTCCTTGACCGATTAGGCACGCTTCTTGTGGCTTTGTCTGTTAGCTTTGGGGTCTTTTTTCTCATTCACTTTATTGGTGGTGGGTTGTCGACTCTTATTCTGGTTAATCTGAACCAAGCACTCCTAAGTACTGCACTGTACAACAATATATACAGGAAGCACATCGTGAGTTTCTATCCAACCTCATTCCTGAGTGAAGGTATCTACATGTACGTACGTTTGTGTGCCCATACAAAGAGATAATAGACAACTAAAGAGAATTGACAACTGGCCACAACAGTACGCCACAGTATGTTCAGTTTTTTAAATCTTCTTATTTCTGAGAGTTTGCTACGTAGTTTGTGGACTTTCTCGTTGATGAAGCTCTGGTAACCATTTGTTGAGAGTTTCTGTCCCAGGATGCTGCCTTCGTTGGTGTATGGATAAATTTCTCCATCTACTATTACTGGTTCGACCATTTTCTTGGCAATTGGTATGATTTTAAATTTGTTGATGTTTGTCCGTATTTTCCATTTCTTTTCGTAGTCATTTATGTTTTTTATTGCTCAGGCCGTATGGCGTGCCATCATTGCTTCTGATTTTCCGGGATATGATATGATTTGTGTGATGTCATCGGCAAAGATAATGTGTTCGCTATGTTGCGTTGGTTCAGGTAAGTTGCTCGTATATATGGAGAATAGTGTTGGGGATGGGACGCCTCCTTGAGGCACTCCGCTTTCTAGGTCGAAGGGTGGACCTAAATGGTTGCCAAGTTGTAGCTGTGCTGTCCTGTTTTGAAGATAGTCACATAGGATTCTTTCTATTTCTGCAGGTAGGTCTAGTTTTAATATTTTATATGCTAGTCCGTTGTGCCACACTTTATCAAATGCCTTTGCCACATCTCTTAAGACTATGTTTACTTGGTTTCCTTGCTGTTTTTCTTTGGCTATGATTTCTGTTATTATTGCTATTGCCGTTTGGGTTCCTCTACCTTTTCTAAAGCCGTGTTGTCTTGGGTTGAGTTTGTTGTGGTTAACCAGGAACATATCCAGTCTGTTATTTAGTATGCGTTCCAAGAGTTTCCCGGTTATTTCCAGTAGGGATATAGGTTTGTAGTTTATTATCTGTTTTTGATCCTTGCCTTCCTTGGGAATGAAGATCATTTTTGCCCGCTTAAGGGCATCGGGTATACTGCCAGATCTGGGGTCACTAAATCTAAGGGGATAACTTAACTCTAAACTTAATTTCTAAGGGTCGCTGCCACCAGACCCCCTCTGGACAGCATGTAGCTCGTTAGGTAGCGGGCAGAGTATAAGTATTAAACAGTATTCATAGACAGTACAGGAATACAAAATACAGACGGCACAGGAACAAACAAAATGCATACTTTTATCTTCACCACTGATCGGCTCGTTAGCCGCTTGGGCATACAGTACAATAATGATACAATTAAAATTTTAGAACAGGCTTATCAGTCATTCAGTATAAGTATTTATACTCTAGGCTCTAAGGATTTAATTATTATGTTATAAGTAATTTTATAGGCACAGGTACAGTACAAGAGGAATTAGTGTCAGGTGGTCGTCTCGTTCCGCCGGCCAGGGTTGTCAGATTGGCCTTTTTATGGCCAAATGTGAGATATTTGGCCTTTTTGGAAGGTATTTGGCCACCAAAATTTCGATTTGGCCAAAATTTGGCCATTTTTTTAAGGCATTGATTTTGGAGCCAAATTTGAGCAAGAAGTTAATAGTCATCTAAAGGAGTTCAAGGAGAGACAACAAGTTAAAGAAGAAGAAAGCAAAGTCCTTGATGTTAAAAGAAGATGCCGTATATATATTGTTGAGGCCATCGATCAGGTGCGTTCCAGATTGTGCAATGCAGCTGAAGCATTCAAAAATCTTTCATTACTTAATCCTTCGAAGGTATTAAACCAAACAGCTAAAGGTGATTTTTCAGATTTACCTATGTTGCATTTAACTAAAAATAATTCAGATGAAATAGAACAACAATATCGGAAAATTACTGTAACAGATTGGAGACTAGAAAATGTGTTTGAAAACAATGAAATTCCAGATGAAAACCAAATTTTGGCTTGGTGTCTATTGTGGGGTTCCAGATGTTTTGGTTCACACTCAGGATGGGATGGAGAAAGGAAACTCACAATGTGCTCTCTATATACATGTTGTATTGGATGTACAATGCAGCTTGGTGCTGGGAAGGCAGCATGGTTACAAGCGTGATGTAGAGAGAGCTGGTTGGTGAGGACGCTCAGAGAAGGACAGCTTGTGGGTCGCCATGCTCGCCAGCGGGAGAGAGGACCGCCCAGGCAGGCGGAGGAGGAGGAGGTGTTGCTGGCTGCGGCTGTAGGTAGAAAGAGAGGCAGATCACCACGAGGTCAGGTCTTAAATAGCGGGGGTAGGCGTGGCTTAGCAGTTGACCCCCGCTCCGTGGTGTATGGCGGCGCTGGTTGACCTAGACCACGAGGCATACACTGGGGAATTGGTGGGGTCGGCTAGGCAGCGACAAACAGCGTTTGTAGGGGAGAATTCCACTACAATACTCCCCCTTCCCTCCAGGCTGTGTAGGAGACTTGTTGTCTGCAGGGTTGCATAGCACATGTGAGGCAGAACGGGCGGTGCGTGCCTCATGTGAGACAACGGCGATGGCGTGATGAGCCGGTCGCTGGATACAACTGTCTAGATACACAATATCTGTGGGAGTAGAGAGGGAGAATAAGGGTGTGTGGAGGCGATGAATGTTGTGCTTCCCTCACGGCAGGTACAGAGTCGACAGATGCGCCTTCTGGGGTGTGTGGACCTGGGTCAGGAGCAGGGGCTGTGTCAGCAGCAGCGGATGAGGGCTCGTGACAGCAGCTGGGTCCACGACAGCAGCAGGGTGCAGGACATCAGCAGGGAGTACCTGAGGGAGAAAAGAGGGGTGTGTGGGTCCGCACTCAGGAACAGAGGCCGCATCAAGGGCGGCAGGGGTTACTGCTGGGCCGGGGTCGGCGTCTGAGGCAGGACGGGTGTGCTGGGGTCGGTAGGACGTGGTGCTTGGGGGCAGGAAAAGGAGCTGGTGTCTGCTAGGAGAAACAGTGCTGCTCGAGGGTGTCTAACCTGCGGTGTAGAGACAGTAGCTGTAGAGCCGATGAAAGCTGCTTCTGTGTGGATAAGCCAGTCTTCCATGTTGCTTGAAGACTGGGAGCGTGATCAGTTTCTCCTCCATCCTGTGTGAGTGTGAATCTCCGGGAGTCACCATCAGGGGTAAGGATTAGAGCCGGGTTCACACCAGATGTGATGGAGAAAGGAAACTGCTAATGTGCCTCTATATATACATGTTGTGGCTGATGTACAATTTGGAAGCTTGAAAGGGGAAGGCATGGTTACAAGGTGATGTAGAGAGAGAGCTACAGAGGATGCCTTTAGAGAAGGACAGCCAGGGTCGCCATGCCTGTCAAATGAGAGAGGACCGCCAGGCAGGCGGAGGAGGAGGAGGTGTTGCTGGCTGCGGCTGTAGGTAGAAAGAGAGGCAGATCACCACGAGGTCAGGTCTTAAATAGCGGGGGTAAGCGTGGCATAGCAGTTGACCCCCGCTCCGTGGTGTATGGCGGCGCTGGTTGACCTAGACCACGAGGCATACACTGGGGAATTGGTGGGGTCGGCTAGGCAGCGACAAACAGCGTTTGTAGGGGAGAATTTCACTACACTATCATCATGAAAACTTCAAGGAATTGTCAGCTTATGCACTTAATTGCCTAGTCACACCAGCAAGCAATGCTATTGTTGAACGAATATTTTCTCTGGTAACTGCAATCAAAACAAAACCAAGAAACAGAATGCAAATCAATCTTCTAGATGCAATTATCAGAATACGAGCGCATCTCTTCGAGAATTCAATCTGTTGTAAGGATATGCGTATAACGGATCGAATGATAACGAACTTCAAGTCTGATATTCTCTATTCGTATGGTGGTAGAATTGGTGTTGCTCTCACTCACAACAGACTGCACGAAGCACACAAGAAGTTGACATAACGATGTTCCTGTAACAAGATTGAGGTGAGTTATTTTACCTTATGCCTATTATTACTGTTAAATTGATTTATTTAGAAATATTTCAACGTTTTGTGTTTACTTTGTTGTTTTTAAAGGTTTCTAAGTTTAATTTGGAGAGTATGTAGGTTTTTAAAGACAATTTTACCATTTGGCCTTTTTTGGCCTTTTATTCCTGTGTTTTTGGCCATAATCAACTGAAACCATCTGTCACCCCTGCCGCCGGCCGCACGAGTCACATGAGTCGACACTGACAGTAAACAGACCACCATGGCTCCTGCTGCTGGTGGCTACTCTCACACATACCCGGACTGGTTTGTTCGGTATAAGAAATGGGTAATGAACAACCCAATGGCTGCTGCCGAAATGGAGGCTGTAGTGAAGTGGGGTTCTTATATTTTAGCAGGTATGTTAAAGATTTGTGTTGGAGGCAAAGGAAGTAGTAATTAAGAGCCAAAGTGCTCGCCCTACACTATAGCACGTAACGGGGCATTGTATTACAGCCGCTCTTGTGTCACGTCACAGGCGGTCCGACTAATTACATTACCCAAATGTAGCCGCAATGAAGTCAAATAATGGTCCTACAAGCGTAAATCGGGCTGTGAATCACTTTTCGATTATTATTTGTAATAGTACAAAAATTGGTAAACTTAATTTAATCTGAGTTGTGTTAGGTTAGGTTAGATTAGGTTAGGTTAGGTACATGCACTCGATCTATTAACTCAGATTAAATTAAATTTACCAATTTTTTGTGACTTCGTGACACCAAATACCAGTCGAGAAGTCATTGGCAGTCCGATTTATTCTTGTAGGACCATTATTTGACGTCATTGCGGCTACATTGATATTAATTAGTCGATACAGGTGTTAACCTTTTGACAGTTCCTGAACTTTGAAGGCTGTCTTTTTTTTTTTTCTTTCTAGGGTGTGACTTAATAACTTGCCTTAAATCATGATTCCCTGACAACGAGCACCACTAACAATCAATTAGTGTAAATTTGCATATAGAACGTTTGTTAATTGACTGTAGTAATAGTTAATCAACCTGGTGACACTGAAAATGTTAAGAGAATAAAGGGTATTTATTCGTTTTCCGGTAAATTTTCACTTGTTGCTAAAAACGTAATTAAAGTTAAAACTGTTTTTCCGATAGTTTTTGATGTGTTATGAACGAATTTGACCTTCATTTCTGTCGTCCCCCATCTCAGAAAATAGATATTTGCTATAAAAATCAAGGTATTATTACTGTTTTGGTCATGCAGCAAATTTGGTATTTTTATTGTAATTCACGCAACATTCCTACCCCAGATCTATTATCATATTAAAAAAAGCTAATTTTAAGATAATTTAATTCTATTACATTGCCGTTTGAAACGTCTATAACGGAGGTAGCACATGCCAAATCTTTCTCTATGTAATTCCATTAATCATTCCTTCATGAATCATTATGTTTATGCATTCGCACACGTCACACGACCAATCAAAAGTGTTCTTTTTTTTTTGTAACTAAATTAAATGAATTGTGGTTTCTGGTTTTAGAATTCGCTGTATTTTTTTCCCAATCAGATTCAATTGTGATTTTGGGTTAGGTTAGGTTTAGCTAGGTAATCCCAAAAAAGGTTAGGTTTAGATGTTTTTCTAGTGTTTTTGGTGTTTTGTATTCGCTTGGACATGATTTTGTCGAAAATGCTTGTTTCTCTCTCCCACCCAAAACCCTGGCGCCCAACAGAATCCCCTATCTTGTTGGGGGTAGAAGGGCTTATAACTAAAAAACAGGCAATTTTCGGTCACAACCAATGAAAATGCTCAAAAAAAATCTAGAAGAACATAGTTTTGACTTTCTAACAGAGTTGTGTGAACTACTATAAATTTACCACAAATTTTAGGATTTTAAGTTTAGGTTAGGTTGAAAGTATGTTTTTCTTATGGTTTTTGTGTGTGTTTTAATCGATTCTGACCTACTTCCAAATGATGCATGACCGAACCAATAATTATACCAAAATCAAGGCAAAAAGTGTTCAAAACACAGAAAACACCATTGAAAAAACATAGTTTTGAATCTAACTTAACCAACCACCTTAACGAGGGGACTCTGCCCCCAGACCCCCATTTCGTTTCCTATGACCCTGTTACACTTTTATTACCTTATTCAGAATTAGAAGACTCCTGGGTAAGTTGTGAAGGGCTGTGGAGGGTATAACTGTCCTGCTTCGGCTGTGGTGGGTATAGCCATCCTACTTCGATGAAGAATCGGTATAGCAAATGGTCATGGAACTGGTGATTAATAGGTAATAATGGAAAATACTGCTTGAAATACTGTGGGTGAATTCCTGGTCCTTTCACCCACTCCTTCAGGTAAAATTTCACTTGTTGCCACTACGTAATAAAATTATAAGTATCTTGCTTATATGTAGTTTGTGCCAGAAATGCCAATGGAGAAAAGTGTTTTAGAATTTCCAAAATTACTGATGGCAACTATAAAGTTCCCGAGATTCGTTTAGTGGCAACAAGTGGAATACAGTACTGTACCCCCATCCCTCTTTTTATATGAAAAATTGTGTTTCTGGTGTATTTTGGTGTGTTTTAGTCAAATCTGACCTTTATTTCTTGTGCAAATGAGCCATTATTTTTTTTCTTCTAGAAAATCGACCTAACCTTACCTAACTTCCCAGCTGGGGAGATTTGCCCCCAGACCCTCCGTCATATTAAACAGAAAATACTTATTTTGATAACTGGTGCCAATGAAAGCAACTTTGTTGAAGCATCATGGTATAATTTTACGTTTTTTGTGGCCATGAGAGTACACTAGGACCTAGCGGGTTGGATGTAAACAAACCGCAGATGACAGCGTATGCCAACAATGGCAGATACCTAATGTTTGAGGGAAAATATATTAACAACTAAGCATTTGCAAGGAACGTACTTCTTAAATATCGATTCATAATTAAAAAAATACAATTTTGGAAAGTCAGAAACACTAGAAGAGGAATGGGTAAAAGTTGAATATTAATACCAAAGTAAGTTATTGTGTAGGTAATTGCAAAAAATAGTAATACTATAATAAAACTGACACAAGTATTATGGTTAATTACCTGTTTTCCTTGAACATATTTTCATGATGGGATAATACTAAATGAGAGAAGTTGCTGTCTTTGCAGTAACCAGACAAAATTTCTCCATAGAATATACATTATATAAAAGCTCTCTTACCTCAAGAGACTACACAAAAAGCAGGAGGAATACATTTGTCACTTCACTGTACAATATGAGTTTTTTATTTGCAGAGCTGCTACCTTGTACATCATGATTATCTGTCCATTGCTACAATCTCTATTTATTGTTTATACAATGAAAAAATAAACAGCAAAGAATCGTTTGACATTATTATGAAAATTTAATTACCAAAATTGGGTTTTCTTATATTTTCTATGGTGATTTGAAAGAATATAACTTATTTATGGATATATGACCCTTAATGGTCTTAACCACTAGCAACAACAATGATTACTTTCAAAGTGGCCAGGGGATTGAAGATGAGGGAAAATGTGATGTTAAAACAGGTATGCCAAAAATCACACTGAATATAGGTATGGCAGCTGTATTGACAGACCGTGTTAATGGTTTGGCCAGGTTTGGTTTAGTTAGGTGAGTCGGAAAGAAAGCCCTCTTAGTAACTATCATTATATAGTCTACCCACCATGCATATGCATTAGGCTGCCAGCATTTCACAACTTTAACAATATTAGGAGGAACAAGGCTAAAAATAAGTGGATAACAAATAAAATTTGAAAGAAAATAGATAGATGAAGAAATTGACAAAATGAAATGAGGCTTACATAAAAATTATGGTTAATTACCTGTTTTCCTTGAACATATTTTCATGATGGGATAATACTAAATGAGAGAAGTTGCTGTCTTTGCAGTAACCAGACAAAATTTCTCCATAGAATATACATTATATAAAAGCTCTCTTACCTCAAGAGACTACACAAAAAGCAGGAGGAATACATTTGTCACTTCACTGTACAATATGAGTTTTTTATTTGCAGAGCTGCTACCTTTGTACATCATGATTATCTGTCCATTGCTACACAATCTCTTAATTTAGTGTTTATACAATGAAAAATATAAAACAGCAAAGAATCGTTTGACATTATTATGAAAATTTAATTAACAAAATTGGGTTTTCTTATATTTTTCATGGTGATTTGAAAAGAATAACTTATTTATGGATATATGACCCCTTAATGGTCTTAACCACTAGCAACAACAATGATTACTTTCAAAGTGGCCAGGGGATTGAAGATGAGGGAAAATGTGATGTTAAAACAGGTATGCCAAAAATCACACTGAATATAGGTATGGCAGCTGTATTGACACCGTGTTAATGGTTTGCCAGTGGTTTAGTTAGGTGAGTCGGAAAGAAAGCCTCCTTAGTAACTATCATTATATAGTCTACCCACCATGCATATGCATGGCTGCCACATTTCCCAACTTTAACAATATTGGAGGAACAAGGCTAAAAAATGGTGGATAACAAATAAAATTTGAAAGAAAATAGATAGATGAAGAAATTGACAAAATGAAATGAGGCTTACATAAAAATTAACAAAGAAATTTAAAGGGAATGCAGACGGTCCAACAATGATGATGTAGATAGTAAATTGCAAGGAGATTGAAGATGATGACAAAAGGCACAATTGTAAGGAAATGTACAGAAAGATTAAACATAAGGAACCCCAAAAAAGGAATTTTGACTATTAAAAGTAAAGACAAGAAATAAAAGAGATGAGAGTAGAGAGTGTAGAAGAACTATGCAATAATAAGTACAGTACATGTATAGAGTAGAGGTAAGAAATGAAAAGGAAATAAACATTACACTGCCAATTCTGGAAACAAGTTGAGGCAGATGTGAAAAATGAAAATGATAAAACTTGTGGGGTTGATCAGCTTCCAACAGAATTTATAAAACAAATGGGTAAAAATATTTGACTAAAATATGTAATTCTATATACAATAAGTCCTCGCTTAACGTCGTGGTTCTGTTCCTGAAAATCGCAACGTTAACTGAAACAACGTTAACGGAATAAATTTTCCCCATAAGAAATAGTTTAAATACGCTACTTATGTTCCCCAGCCTCCCTTTGCCCCATAAAATACATTACATATACAGAAATTCAGTGGCATTTTTATAGAAAATTGTATATACAGTACTGTACTATATACAGTATAAATAAACTATATAATTTTGTACTGTATTGTACTCACTGGTGGACGGAGGTGGTAGAGCGTATGTGTGGTGGGTAGTGGAGCGGAGGAGGAGGGTGGCGAGTCACTGAGACCCGGCGGGTGGCTCCTCCTCCCGGTTTAAAACCTCCATTTTCGTAGCAAGGCTAATGGTCTTACATTGCTTCTTCACAACACTAGCATCAGTAGCACTTGATGGGTGCTTGGAAGCCATTTTGAATGGATAGAGTTCAGTATTAAGAGCAGAAACACTTAAACAAGCACTAAAACTGTGGTCGCTTAACAAAGACTGGTGATGCTTGGGGACGCCGCTCCGCATGTGAGAGCGTAGCTCGCCAAGATGAGATGGTGATGCGCCATACAAAGTAGTCCGTGACGTAGCGGCGAATCGGGCGGACGTTATCCGAATCGTGGGTATCTAAAGAATAGAGATGTTATAACGAAACAACGATATATGGGGGCAACGTTAAATTAGGACTTACTGTACTGTACTTCAAAGGAGACCTTCACAGTGATTGAAAAAAATCAATACTGTACAGGGTATTTGTATTATTACCTAAAGGTCCAGGAGCCTTAGAGTGCGCCAACTTTAATAAGCCATGCCTGCAAAGTTTTATTAAATATAATTTTCTGACTTAAAAATTTGTATTAAAGCTTCCACTGCTGCTGTGTTGGCAAGTTGTAGAGAAAGTACTACAAATTGAAGTAAAACTATCAATGTGAATAAGAAGCAAGGAAAACTGACTGGCTTTTTTCTAATACAGTACTGTACCACTGGATGGAGAACTGTGAGGGTAAAAGGCATTTAGACAGACATAAGTGATCTGTGAGTTGATACACAATAAATTTAATTGTTTTAAAATGTTTATTTAACTTATCTCCTTTACACCCCCCAAAAATGCAACCCTCCCCCAAATTATCAGGCTGAGTAAAAAAAGAAAAAGGGCAAGCAAATTAAAAAAAACCGCCCAGGGATGAGTAAATATTCCACATAATCTGCTCAGCCTGGTTAACTGTCTTTTGGGGGCACTGTGACTTGGGTTGTCTTGTGAAGGTTGACTGGCCAAGCCCAGAACTAGGCAGCTCAGAAACCCTCCTTCTTCCCTGAATTAGTGTGGTGGTCTGCTGGCAATGAATTGGGATTGACACCTGAAACCCATCATGGGCAACATGAAAGGAAAGGTGAAGGGCACACTAGCTGGTACAATTTCATGTATTATATATTTTCTTTCCTTTTAGGACAATAGTTATACTGTACAGTAGTAGTGAAAGTAGACCCATCTTTATATCAGTCATAGTCATTAATATCATGCCTCTTGAGTCTCTAGAAGTCTAGAATGACCAAATTTATAGTGTTGTATTTATAATTAAGCTGCCTACTGGATATCCATGCTTGATGATAAAATATAAATTAGGATGAATCCTTCAGTTTCCAAAATGTCTTTGTAGAATAATTAAACACTGTTTCTTGGTATAGAAAGCAAAAACATTAGGAAAAAACAATTTGAACTGTATGGGATCTATGTAATTTTCATAGGGAGAGCAGTGCTGAGTGCATATTCAATTCTAGATGTAGCTAAAGAATTGATCTTTTGAAAGGCAGAGGATTATGAGAGGAAATAACAAGGAAATGGTCCTTGATAATGCTAATTCACACATTATATTTTTCCAGGGCGTTTAAAACTCTCAACTCTCCTCTGTGAGATTGTGTATTCAGGATCAAGACTTTTTGAAATGTTTAATGACTTCTTAATAAAAGGAACTCTACCACAACTCACAGCAAAGGAAGGTAACAAGTTAAAGGTAGGACACAATGTTGAGTATAAACTTTTTTAATTAGTGGAAAATTACATTTTATTTATGATGGGCTGCCTGTAGAATGAATAATTAATAAATTTTTTGTGATGATTGTAAACTTGGTACAGTATACAGATATTAGTTTGTTATTGCTGTACCTGTATTTGTATAAGTTTTTACCTGGATCATTATCAAATCACACTAACCCCTTCACTATGGTGACACCAATTTTAATATTTTATTTGGCTAATTCTTGACAATTTTATTCAGTACAGAGAAGACCTTGTACTTGAGGGGTTAAAATGAAAGAAATAAAAGAATCCAGATTACCCCTCATCTTTAGTATTTAATTCTGTGAAACTGTATGTGATGCCTTTTGAAGAGTCTTCATGTGGGACTCCATCATCAGATATTGTAGGTTGTTCGTATGAGATCTACAGTACTGCAGTATCTATGTTAGGTTAGGTTAAGTGGGTACTGCAATCACTTGTAACAGCTAAATGTATTTTCAGTTTTCTTGTTTATACTGTAGTAATTAAGGCTCGCTTGACTATTAAGTCCCCAAAAGATGCACTATCTTAGGGACCTTACCTCGGCCATCTTATTATTAAAACTAAAATTCTTATACTGTGCTGTACTATACCCTGTATTATGGGACACCTTCAGGCTGGGTCTTTTTCTCTACCACAATAAGTACAGTACAAGTACTGTATACAGTATTTGCCAATAGTACAGTGGTCCCTCGGTTAACTCCAATCCGTTCTAGAGGGTTGCTCGTTAACCTAAAACCATTGTTTCAATGGGTTTTTTGGTAATTGGTTCCAGCTCACCGAAAGCCTAAATTCAACAAAAAGGAGAAAGGTACACTTACTTTGAGGTGTATGTAGAAGGCTCTGGATGATGATGGGAATTAGAATGAGGGTGGAGGAAAGGGAGAAGAGAAGGAAGTGGATGTGGAGGAGAAGCATTTACTGCTTCTTGGAAGGTGAGTCACCTTCCATGAAAATGTCAGGAACTCTGACTGACAGATTCTCCACCAATAACATCCTCTCCTCTTAGAAGTGGAAGGCTGAGGGCTAGCATCTTGTTCCCGCTGCCTTTTACTAAAGAAACTGTCAATTTTTGTTTGTGGGGCATCTCTCCTCCTCATCATTAACTGATGTTTGAAGAAGGAGACCACTGTGTCCTCAACATGACACAAAGCTAGTTCAGACTTTTCCATATCTGGGTGCCTTGAAGCCAGTTTCCTGAACTTCTTTCAGTGGTGAACAACATCATCTTCAACTCTGAAGTTGACATATGGTCATCACTAGGCTTAGGATAATTATGCATTTAAAAATGGCTAAATATGCATGCAAATATGCAGTAAAAACTGAGAAAATATGCACTTAAATATGCACTTTAAAATGTTAATAAATAATAACTACTAAGTTAATAACTCCTATTCTGTACATTTTCTCAGTAAATTTACTTTCCTGGACAGGATGTCGCAAGTATTTTTAAAGAAGGATTAAATACAAAACAATATACTGACAAAGTAATTTATTAAACAATACTGAAAAAAGTATTTTCCTTTAAGAAAATAGAAGAACAAAAGAGTGTCAGGAGGGAACTGGTGGAGCCCGTGCATCTACACCCTGCCTGGCTGAACACGAACCCATCACGCATACAGTTCATGTCCACTGACCAGCCAATCACGCCTAGCTAACCACAGCGTAATGTTGAGCTATATAAACCACTTAAGTATGTTCCTTTTGATATTATGACACTAAAACAAAATCGCATTTTCGATATTGTATTAGTGCAATAAAATGGACTTTTATATTTCAAATATAAGTAATTTCTGCCCCAGCGTTGCTGTTATGCTCATGAATTTTTTGACCCTTGAGGTTGAAGAATGTTTTATAATATTTTGGAATTTTCCAAATATATGCTTTATAAAACAAAAAAAATATGAATATGCACTTAAGCTCAAGAATGGCTTAAATATGCATTTGCATATGCACATATGCAAATGCATAATTATCCTAAGCCTAGTCATCACTTTCCATTTCTCCCTCGCCACTGTCAGCCTCTTAACATCTCATCCAGTTGCTGCAAGTCTTCAGGAGTAAGTTCCTGTTCATGAGACATCACAAGCTCTTCTACATCATCCTCCTCCATTTCAAGGCCAAATGACTGACCAATGGACACAATCTCCTGGTGCAACTCTGTTTCATCCTGAAATCCCTCAAAACCATGGACTACTGATGGCCACAGTGCTTTTCATGAAGAATTGAGGGTTCTAGTGGAGACTTCTTGCCATGAAGACACAATCAATTTTACAGCCTCCAGGATGTTAAACTGTGTCTTACAGAATTGTGCCAGTGTTAGTTCAGGATCAGTGGAAGTTGCCTGATGACACCTGAAAATTTTCATGTACAGCTTCTTAAAGTTGCTGATCACATTCTGGTCCATTGGCTGTATGATTGATGTAGTGTTGGGAGGCAAAAACAACACTTTGACAAAGTCAAATTGAGACTCCAAAGTTCTGGCAAGTTGAGGGTCATGACCAGGGGCATTATCCATGAGGAGAAGAGCCTTTAAAGGGAGTTTATTGGTGGTTAGGTAGCTCTTCACAGAAGGGCAAAACACCTCAACAGCCCATTCATTAAAGAGCTGTCTTGTTACCCATGCCTTACGGTTGGATTTCCAATAAACTCCAAGCCATCCTCTTACCACTTTTTGTTGCTTGAACACCCTGGGGTTCTCAGAGTGGTAGACAAGCATAGGCTTCAGTCGGAAATCCCCTGAAGCATTGGCACCAAGCAATAGAGTGAGACGGTCTTTCATGGGTTTATGCCCAGGTAAAGAGGCTTCATCTCTGGTGGTGAATGTTCTTTTGGGCATCTTTTTCCAGAACAGCCCAGTTTCGTCCACATTGAACACTTGCTGTGGAAGATAATTTTCTGTATCCACCAGTTCTTTAAATTCCACTAAAAACTTTGCTGCCCCTTCCTTATCAGCACTGGCAGCCTCACTATGCCTAACACTAAATATGTCACTTCTTTTCTTAAATTTTTTTAACCAGCCCTTGCTGGCCCTAAAATCTTCAAAGTCTGTGCCTGAAGAACCAGGTTGATTTACCTTTAAATGTTCGTATATTTCCCTGGCTCTTTCACAAATAAATTCAGTAGAAACTGAATCTCCTTTCATCTGTTTTTCCCTAATCCAGATGAGAAGTAACCTCACTGTTTCTGCTATTAGGGATCTACCTTTGAACACTCTGGTAGACTTGTCTCTCACTTTCACTTCCTTGAATTTGTCTTTCTGTGCAAGAATTGTCGATACAGTTGATGTCGACATGCCATATTCTTTGCTTAGCACATTTGTTCTAATGCCTTCATGTTTTCTAATTATTTCCTGTTTCATCTGAATTGAAATCGCTTTTCTAGATTTCTTGGGACCCATGCTGGATTCAAAAACAATTTCAACACGTGATATTTTAAGTTCAATTGCTGTAAATAAAGAATATTTTCTTTAAATTAACACTGCACTGCTCTATATATCATCAATATGTAAAATAAATTTCAAAATGATCAATAATTTGACTGAAAACACAGAAAAAAAGCATTTATCTTTAAGTGAGTCTGAAGCAAGATGTTTCCTCCACTGAAAAGACACAGAGACTGACGCCTGATTGGTGTGTTGACAGGCTGTTTGGCGCACATAAAACTAGTTTCCTGTACTTCAATTATGTTCAATAATTTTTAAAATGACTAAAGAATTTAATATAAAACTTTTAAAATGATTGAATAGTACAAGCTTCTTGATATTTACTAAAATGGTAAGGAATTTAAGCCCTAGAACCGATTACTGTATTGGCGGACTAATACGACAACTGGTGTGCAAGAGAAAACATGATGAGGGCCGCTCGCAAGGAATTCGTTAATCGAGGGAATGCTCGTTAACCGAAGTTAAGAATCTTATGGAAGGTAATTGAATTAACCGAAATCTCGTTAACCGTTAACCGAGGGATCACTGTATACAGTACTTCCAGAGTTTAGCTTGATTAGTCAAGATAATTCCTTAATCCATAATTCCCTAACTTTTGATATCTCATTGTCATCTATCAAACTTACTTGAAAGATAACTGATGCGCCTTGAACTAGTACAGTACAGTACATTACTGTACATTGTGATGGTCGAGTTTTCTCAATGCTCGTTAACGAGATTAGAATCTTATGGAAGGTAATTACGTTAACGAAATCTAGATTAACAGTGGCTAGATTAACCGAGGATCACTGTATATATATATATATACACATATATATATATATATATATATATACATATATATATATATATACATATATATATATATACATATATATATATATACATATATATATATATATACATATATATATATACATATATATACATATACATATACATATACATATATACATATATATATATATATATATATATATATATATATATATATATATATATATATATATATATATATATATATATATATATACACAGTTGTACCCCACTTAACGCGGTCAATAGAACCCAGAGGGTCCCGTGTTAAGTGAAATCCGCGTTAAGTGAACAACAGAACATATGGGATTAATTCCAATAGAAACCGGCCCTACCCCCAAACTCCACTTTTTGAAGGCACATACCTATGTTGTAGTAAAAATAACATCTTAATTTTATGATGGTACATACACACAATTAATACTTAAGAGAAATAGAGAAATACAGTCGCCAAGTTAATGTCCATTCAAATAATGGACTCAACTCCCTCCCCCTCTTCTCACACTACACTGCCGGCTCTTCCCTCTCTGAGAAATTTTTGGGGGAAAACCACTAAATTTTAATAAATAATACCTCAAACTAAAGTTAGGATAATACAATTGACATTGCTGGATTCCTTGTAAGACCAGGAATATTTTGAATATAAATGTCATATATTTTGCACAAAAGATAACATAGTTACTCTGAGAAAAAAT